TTAGCATAAAGAATGATATACAGAGAGAATTTATATATAAAATAATACACAGAGCTGTCCTAACGGGAGAAAAACAGTTAGAAAGAGGATTGAAAAACATGGAACCTAAATGCAAATATTGCAATAAACGATTGAAACCTTTGAACACTTATTTATAGAATGTAAAGAATTAAAACTATTTAGACAATATGTAACCGAAAATGGACAGACGAAAGACCCAAATTTTAAAATAAATAAAAAATTACTTCTATTAGTAGATATTAAAAAGGAATTATTACCTCTTATATATGGTTACACTCATACAGTATGGGTTTGTAGACACTATGAAGATGAACTAGTATTATATAAATTACAAATGAAATATCATAAAGATAAAGAAATTTATGAAAAATATAATTAGGAAATTAGACCAGAAGAAAAAGGGTTATTCCCAAAATAAAAGATACCAATCGGAAAAATAAAGATACCAATCGGAAAAATAAAGGCAACATAAATAACAAGTTGGGGAAAATAAAATTTGATTACGGTATTGGGAGGCTACTTTGTTAGAGCTTAACTCTAATAGGGTTTTATACCCGTTTAGTCTCCACATTGCCCAAAATCAAATTGGAAATAACCAACCAACCAAAAAGAGGAAACTGAAACTAGACGAAAACAAAGAGTAGTCAGTGTGGGTTTCGCCACGCTAAACTACACAACTACAACAGAGCAGAGATCTACAGGGAATTAGGAAGAAACAATAACAAGAACAATAGTAAATTTATTTAAATTTTATTTATTTAAATTATATTTGTTAAAATATTGTTTTGTTAATGATAAGATGAAAATAATCATGTTTTTTATTGCAGAATTAAACTATTCTCCTTTTTATTCTTCTAAGCATTATGTAAGCACTCTTTTAGCACATCAAACTCAAACTAACATTCTCAACCACTACGGTTGTATATTGTATTAGATTTTTCAAATATATAAGGGACTGGCCAGTTCACACCAATTTGAGTGTTGAGAAAAATAAAAAAAATAAAACAATAAAGAAGAACTTAATTGTCCTAGTTTTAAATCGGCATTACTGCCATTAGTTCATCCCGGTATAAAAACATTTCTTTCTAGTAAATGTATTTAATTTGTTAAAATAATTTAATAATTCATATATTTTTTATTTTTTTATGCATTTGATTATATTTTTTATTTTAAATCCACCTATTTAACGGTATTCTATATGCTGACTTGTTCGCCGAAATCTATTGTTTACATGTGTCGAAGGCTAATTAACCACGTGACACGATAAGCTTTCAATAAAAACAAAAAATTAATAATCCGCTATCGGGACAATGAAACACGTACAAGTCAGCTTTCTTACACCAGTGTACCCGCAGACACTATTGTACCGGAAGTCCATGACTATCCCGGAAATGGCTTTTATAAATAAATCCTATGGGAAATTATGTTCTTAAATTAGATCATAGATAGGGCTATGATATATATGATTAGATAAAACTGTCGGCTATATCACAACATCTTTAATTAATAGATATAAGAAGATGTGGTATGAGTGCCAATGATTATTAAGTCTTATTGTGCCAAATGTTTATGACCTTTTTACGACTTACTACTGTACTATTTTATAGAATCTGTATTAAAAAAAAACATGCTTGCACCATCCTTTTTCCATTTTCACTGAGCCCTTAAATTTATTGAATGGTTCAATTCATAAAGTAAATGTGTACTAAGTTTCATGTTGATGTGACAACAAGCTTCCTTAAACCAAAATTTGACCCTGATACAGGACAGACGGATGGACCCATAGACACTGATACAGGACAGATGGATGGACCCATAGACACTGATACAGGACAGACGGATGGACCCATAGACACTGATACAGGACAGACGGATGGACCCATAGACACTGATACAGGACAGACGGATGGAGCTATGGACACTTATACAGGACAGACAGATTGACCCATAGACATAATCAAAGCGCGAAAGCGCTGTAAAGGCAGTTAATTACAGGTTGTGTGTATTTTTAGTCCAGTTATATCATTATCTTGCATAGAACATCGTACTTATCAGAGGTGGCTTTCAGTATTTAAGATTTAGAGTTCTCTAATGATATTGAACAAGTTTTATGAATGTCATATTCTGAGCACTATATGAAGGCGATTGTTCTCACTTGTTTATGAACTAGTGCATTGTGTCCAGTTTGTACCTTTTTTATCTATGTTTATAGTCAAATACTGTTTAAAATAGTAAATGTTATCAACTGTATTTTATTCAACTTTGCAAATGTGGTTTGTTACTGGTAAGTACAATGTATGGATGATAGTTGTTTCATTGGCAATCATAACACATCTCCTTATTTATATATTGATCTATATTCAACGACCTCAGTAACAAAAAATATGTATGTAACTAAACTTTGATGGGAAACCTTTGACTTCTTTCTTTTATATTAACTTTTGATTTGGTACCATAGAACTATGTAGAATAAATGTACATTGCAACATGTCAACTCTTTCAATGACAATACTTTTTTTAGAAACTATAACTCCAAGCAAAATTATATTTCCAAGTATAAAGTAATTTATGAATGAAGCAAGAGTGCACACGCTGAAATGTCTCGCCTTCTTTACTAATCATTGATATTATGTTGATAGTCCTAAATATAAAGCTTTATTACAACTGTCACATAAACTTAACATTAACCAAGTAAACTTAACATTGACCAATGAACCAAGAAAATGAGGTCAAGGTCAGATGAACCATGCTAGGCAGGCATGTACAGCTAACAATTCTTCCATACAACAAATATAGTTGACCTATTGCTTATAGTTTAAGAAAAACAGACCAAAACACAAAAACTTAAAACTGAGCAATGAACCTTGAAAATGAGGTCAAGGTAAAAAAAAACCTGCGTGACTGACAAATAGATCATAAAATATTTCCATACACCAAATATAGTTGAACTATTGCATATAGTATTAGAAAAAAAAGACCAAAACTCAAAAACTTAACTTTGACCACTGAACCATGAAAATGAGGTCAAGGTCAGATGACACCTGCCAGCTAGACATGTACACCTTACAATCATTCCATACACCAAATATAGTAGACCTATTGCATACAGTATAAGAAAAACAGACCAAAACAAAAAACTTAACTATAACCACTGAACCATGAAAATGAGGTCAAGGTCAGATAACACCTGCCAGTTGGACAGTCCTTCCATACACCGAATATACTAGACCTATTGCTTATAGAATCTGAGATATAGACTTGACCACCAAAACTTAAACTTGTTCACTGATCCATGAAATGAGGTCGAGGTCAAGTGAAAACTGTCTGACAGGCAAGGTATGCACATACCAAATATAGTTATCCTATTACTTATAATAAGAGAGAATTTAACATTACAAAAAATCTTAACTTTTTTTCAAGTAGTCACTGAACCATGAAAATGAGGTCAAGGATATTGGACATGTGACTGACGGAAACTTCGTAACATGAGGCATCCATATACAATGTACAAAGTATGAAGCATCCAGACCTTCCACCTTCTAAAATATGAAGCTTTTAAGAAGTTAGCTAACGCCGCCACCGGATCACTATCCCTATGTCGAGCTTCCTGCGACAAAAGTCGCAGGCTCAACAAAAAGGAGTTCTTAATTAAGAAATAAACTGATTCGTTGAGCGCACTTGGATACACCCGCAGAGGTCCAACCCTGAACAGTTGGGGCAAAAAAGGACACAATATTCAAGCTTGATACAGGTCTGAATTTGGATTGTACTGAAATATTTGACATATTATAGTTTCTGAATAAATGTAGTCAAAGAACTTGAAATCGTTTATATGAATTGAATTTATATTCAATTAAAGATTTCTTGCTGTTGTGCAATACACTGTGCTGTAGCGCAATACTTAATAAATCTGTTGCCAGACTATAAACAAATAAAGTTCAATTTCTTCTCAATGTCATATTTGAAATTTATGAAAATCAATAGGGAGATTACATCAATAGCTATAAATAATTCACCAAAGTTTCATGCGAACTGCTTAAAACATTTTTGAGTTGTTGTCCAAAAACTGGAAAATCCCCCCCTTTTTAATGAATAAAACCCCATAACTCAGAAATGTAAAATCTAAAATTTATAAAATTCTAAAGGGAGCTTACGGATTGATAATTTAGTCTTAGATGCAAGATTTTTTTATCAGTTGTTAGTAAATGCAAGTACTCTCAGATCTGTACTTAGTGTCTTTTTGTTGTTTGGATGTACAACTACCCGGCCATGTCCACTTGTATTTGTAATTATCTATCTGATGAGTTAAGCCTCTTTCAACTGATTTTTATAGTTCGTTCTTATATTGTACTGTTACACCACTGTCCCAGGTTAGGGGGTGGGTTGGGATCCCGCTAACATGTTTAACCCCGCCACATTCTGTATGTACATGTATGTGCCTGTCCCAAGTCAGGAGCCTGTAATTCAGTGGTTGTCGTTTGTTTATGTGTTGCATATTTGTTATTTGTTCATTTTTTGTACATAAATTAGGCCGTTAGTTTTCTTGTTTGAATTGTTTTACATTGTCATTTCGGGGCCTTTTATAGCTCACTGTGCGGTATGTGCTTTGCTCATTGTTGAAGGACGTACTGTGACCTATAGCTGTTAATTTCTGTGTCATTTGGTCTCTTGTGGAGAGTTGTCTCATTGGCAATCATACCACATCTTCTTTTTTATATTTACATCAACAGATATAAACAATTCACCAAAGTCAAACTTAGTTGTAAGATCTCTAAAAATTTTTACACGGTACAAGTTTTTCTAATTGTTGGAGATTGTACGGTGACAGTAACACCTGTAGCTGCTTAACCAATTTCTTATGCACTTTGGTTCGATAAACTCACTGAATATCATACCACATCTCCTTATTTTTATATGCATTACAATTTACATGTGCATGTAATTGTAAATAATATTTATATATATATATCAGAACAAACTTCATTGCGTCACTTTTAATTATGCATCCTTTGGCACAATACAAGTTCTAAAATTACACAACATAAAACAACTAAATGTTATTTCAGATGAAAGTTTTGTTTCAGTTCCATTCATAGGAATTATTAGAATTTTGTATGTTTTGCCAAGTCCAATAATTAGCTCTATGTGCACGTGTTAATTGGAGACTTTTCTATCCCGTATAAGAGTTTTGGAACTAATTCTGTTTCTTCTTTTGAAAAAAGTGAGCAAACAAATCTTGCACATTTAAACCTTTGTCTGCCATCACACTGTCACCTGGATCACATAATTGAACTATTCTACATCTTTCATCTATTTCACAGTCACTGGTACAACCAACATATGCATTAGAGACATAGTTGACTAAACCACCAGGTGTCGAACATACAAGTATTTTCAGTGTTTCTGTTTTTATATGATGAAAAGGTTGCCTGAGCTCTAGGAGCTTTAGGTTTTATCACGGGATATTCTGTGCTGTCAATAATAATCCAAGTTGTAGGAAACTTTAATTTGAAGTTGGATGGCGAAAAATACCTGACTAAACCACTAAATGGCCAAGTGTTAGCCTCACGCCACTGTTTAGACATAAAAACAATCCATGTTTACACAATATTCTTAACACTAGTTTCAATCTAGAATCTAGACAGTTCAAAGTTGGTTGTATAATGCCTCAATTTCATCAAAGTCATAAAAAAACTGATTTTCAAATGACACCCTATCAATTTGAAAATATATGTATCTCAAACAATGTGCCGCTGGACCAAGTGTGGTCAAAACAAATAAAAATTTAGTATACAACTCTAAACCGGAATAAAAATGCATGGCTGTGTCACGTGTCTTCATTTCAAAATTCTCTGCTGAAAATATAGGCATTGATGGTGTCTGCGTAATTCCATCTGTGAATCTCAACATTAGCTCGGCAGTTGGTGGTGGACAGTCATAAATCCTGTCTGCAGTATGAATAACTTCTTCAGGAAAACCAACTTTACAATCAAAACTTTCCTCTAGATTTCTACTACAATATTCATCAAGTTTAGTTCTTTTGTTTTCACAGGAAACTGCCATGATTTTTCTTTTTGCGGACGATTCAGTCTCTTGCTTGGTCCAGGAAAATAGGCTGGGAATGGCAGTAGACTTAAGTCTCTGTATGGTGGGTTTGCGCCCTGAAAAAGGTTATAAAACATTAGTTTTTTGATAATTAAATGAACTTCCATTAGCAATGCATACTTTGTACTACCTGGCAAAATATTAACTAGATTTATTCATTACAATCTGGATGAAACTATGTTAGCCTGATTCAATGTACATCAAAATGTATGTTATGTAAATCCAAAGGACAAACAATGAGAGACGTATGCAACAAACATACATTGTTTGTACCTAAATAACTATCATATAGATGAGAGCATGTCATTGTTTTGTTCCTGTTAACATTGTCATTGATATTTTTCAAGAAAGTCTATGAGGCATAGCTTATGTATTCCTGTCATTACTACATTAGCATAATTACTGCTAAAATAATTCTCAGTATGATATACCTCTTGTAAGAAATCATTATAATTGTAGCAAGCACCAAAAAATCTCAAACAGATCACATTGAATCGTAATCCAAAAAATTATGACGTCTTGAATTAACCACCCCCTTTTATTCTAAAAACAGTGCTCCAGCTAGAAATCAAAAGGGGCAGGGTGCCAGTGGAGGGCAAGGCACTTTTTTATGAAAGGAAAAGGCACTGCTCATTTCTTTTGCCTATGTTTCTGTGTGTATCACGAGTTCACATTCTTTTTTTTACTGTATGTGTTGTTAATAAAGATGCATAAGTTGTTTTGATTATTTATTCTATAAAACATGTCAATACACATTCATACATCACATCACTGTAAACCAATAGAGGCAAATTAACTTACTATTGTTTTAGATTTAGATTGCTAAAAGTATGATTATCAAAAATAAATTGCAATATATTTGTTTTGGTATGTTCAAAGACAGTTAATATCCTTAAGGTAACATTCTTATATAATTTTGTATTCAATTGGTAATGTATTCCTATTTTTAATACTAGACAATATTTTAGGAGCACAAATTTGTAATAGCTAAAACAGGGGAAGTAACTCCAAAATTAATTTCTAACACGTTTACTGTTTGCTTGTCGCTCACAGGTTGAGATGGACGGCGTTCCTGTGAAGGCATAGTTGTATTTTGATGACTTAAATTCTATTCTAAAGTCATGAAAGTCTTCATTTATACAGTCTTCTTGGAGATCGAAAATGCCGACCCAAGCTAAAAACACTCACTGACACATTCATCAAATTTATGACAAAAAGGTACATTGTCTTAATTAAATTACCTAGTTATTAACACCTTTGAAGTCTTATCCACTGTAATTGATTGTAATGACATGATTAACCTGGAGGCAATCACCTGGTGTCATATATGTAATTTAACTTTGTGATAAGAAATCGATGAAACAAAAGGCAATTTTAAATTTAGTGTGTACATCCAATATGGCGACCATTGTGATTTCCTTGGTCGCCATGTTGGATATACACACTATATTTAAAATAATCTTTATGAACTTACCTGCTTTCTGTAAATCAATTTTAAGTTATAAAATACATTAATAATATACTATTATTTATTAATCAATGTTTAAAAGTTACCAATATGTGCTAATATTAAAATTTCAAGTGTTATTCGGTCATTACAAGTGTTATTCTGATAATAACGGTGTTATTCGGTCATTCGAGGTACCGGAAGTTGAAGAACAGGATCAGCTACCACGGAGCCACCTATTCAGGAACGATAATTTGCTACTTTATATAACTGCGAAATAACAAATATAACGTTAGACGGGTTCGCGTGCATAAACAGAAATGCGCTTTAAATTGTATAATATAATTCATGTTCAGTCGACCTTTAATTATTATATCAACGACTGAAATGATCTATAAACATCTAGATTGCAGATAACACTCGAAATTAACCCGACCTCTTTCCACACGGAATTCAAATAATTCTAGTTTGTCAATCGGTTGACTGCTTATAATGTAAAATACAAATATATCAAAAGTTTTTAAAACTAACAAAACACAATGATCGTTTCTCTATTTCCTAATGTAAATGAACTGAAACAAAACACATTTTATATCACAATAAGAAGAGGAGAGAATCAATATTTTTCGGATCTACTTGGAGCCTAATGACCCCCTACGTAGATAAGTTGGATATCGCGAAAAGAAAGATTAACACGGCAACCAGAAAGGCATTAAAGCACTGCCTTTAAAAACTTATGTCTCCCCAAATACCATAAGTCGAGCAAAAAATACTAATAGGATTGAACTGATATTTTTTTGGCATATCTTATTTCTGGTAGATCTAGTTTTGCTATTTATACACGGCGTGACTTTTTACCCCAATATACCCCAACATACCCCAATATACCTCAAAAAGCAGTTTAAACATAATTTGATTGAATAACAATGTTACACTAGGTATTTAAATGTTATTTTAACGACATGAATACTTTATTTTATGAATATATTTAATTTTAAATCACTTTTTCCCTCGTAACTTGTTCTGTTCATGTCAGCCGCTTACGATCACAAAATCACTTTTTACCCCAATATACCCAAATATACTCGAATAAACAGTTTCAACACAATTTCCACGATAAGGAATGATATAACAAGCAGATATATTAAAATTGAACACAACTGTTTACATTTTTGTGCATTTAGAGGCTTTTAAAACACGGGTTCTTTATTCATGTATTGACGAAGGTTACACTAAAAACCCGAACGAACGAACCTAAAAATATACCGGTAAATTTTTGCAATTTCTTTTTTCTCCCTTACAATTTTGAGATTGTAAATGCATTTTGTGTTTTGTTTTCTATATGATGTTTTTTTCTAAAATAAAACTCGAAATTTTTTCTCAAATTTGGAAATATTTTTTCAAATATTTGTTTTCTTTGAAAATAATATATAATCCTTATATGTTAAACATTTAAAGTTTTCTTTTTATGTTTATAAAATGTTTGTATCTTTCACTCAGTTAGGACATTGGTCAGCGGAAATTCTATGTTGGTCAGGTCGGTGTGTTCACGCTTCTCGGACCAACATCTGGAATTGTTTGTCATGCCAAGAAATCCTTGCTCAAAACTCCGATGGACCTCCTACGGCATCCATTACTAGTTAAAGATTAAATAGAAAAATATAAACCTTTCAAATGTAGCGTTTATAAAATAAAAATATTCCCTGTGGAACACCCCCAACCCCCTTTTTGCGCTCTCTATTTTCAACCCTCGAATTAAGCTTTCCAATCTAATTAATTTAAAAATTAAAACCTAGCTTTCTAACTGATCTATTCATGTACCGGACCGGCAACTCTCGTTATTTTATAAGAAAATCTACAATGCCGTTATACACATGCGTGTTGTCTGCTTGGAGTCTCCGCACAGGCACTTGACTCAGAATAAATACCGAATATGGAAAGTGGAACTACAATTCAAAACATAAAGTCCGAAGGCACATAGAAGAATTTTTTTTTATTTTTGCAAAGGATGCCGGGGTAACCCTCCATGTGTTCAAAATATACATGAAATATCATAACCCCTAGTTTTCGATCTGTTACATGCCAAGAAATCCTTGCTCAAAACTCCAGTGGTCCTCCTACGGCACCCATTTGTAGATTTGATTTTATTCAACAAAATAATGTTTGTCCTGCATGTAAGTATCGCTTTGAAAACGGACATATGCCTATACCAAATGGTCAATATTAATCATCCATGTAATTTGCTCTATGGTAATTTTTTAGCTTTTAAAGGTAAAAAATCCATGTCGGAGAAAGGTGGGTTTTTTTTTTTGTCAAAGAGGTTAATGAAATTTACCGGTAAATGGAGTTACAGTGAATCCAATTCAATTTAACAATGGTGGGTTGAACCTGGTTTTATGGCAAGCCAAATCTCTCTCTTATAGGCAATGTTAGAAATACCGCTAAATTGACAATAAAATTTGTATTTATAGCGAAATAATACACTATAAAATCTTGAAATTACTGAGGCAAAGTTTTTTTTTTTAATTGCCAACATATCAAAAGTATTATGCAGAAAAAAAATCGGCACTTTACAATCTTTAATTAAGCACAAAAAAATTTATCAATAAAAAAAAGAGTGCACTCAAATATCTTGGCTGCTTTATTTATCAGGATTGAAGAATATTGGAAATCTGTAATATATCTTGATTGCTGTTTCATTGAATATCTCACATGTACTTTATTAATATTCAGAATGCTTAAAAATTGTTTTTAAAATTAGGAAAAGAAACTTGAATTGTGTCTTGTGTCTTACTATAATCGTTGACTGAAGAAGAAAAAAATGAAGACACATATTTGCTAATTCAATCTTTATGTTTCTGTGCTCTATGACGGGTACGTCATAAGTAGGAGATATCGATATGGCGAGGAGTGAATTAATCGGGTTATAAAAAATTGGTGTTTTTTTTTCGAATGATTTTGATTTTTTTTCTAAAATAAAATTTTCTATACAAATTCGCATTTTTGCTATTACAAAGGTATATATAGCTATTCTATAAGAACTAAACAACTTGAATGATACAATTGTCCGAGGAAAATGCTTTTGATGTTCTGTTAAAAGAGGAGAAAGTTTAAGATATCCAGGGGGCTCCACAAGATTTGAGAAAGAAAATCGTTTTTCCAATTTTTAATCATATAAATTTACATACATGCTGTTTTTTGGTTTTTATCTAAGGGCAGTGGTCACCTTTATTCTATCATGTGTTGCTATTCTAGAAAGTGACTATTTGATTAATTCTGTATTCAAATGAACAAGAAAATTTATCTCTCTGTATTATATATTCATTTGCTTCAATACCTGTCAACCTCTGAAATAGGGAATGACTTGTTTTTATGACGAAACTAAAGCTTTTAGGGACTTTTATCTCTCTATCATATATACATCATTGGTTCAAATTATTTTGAAATGATTTTTATAATTGATATTTAAAACCTGCAAATTTTAAAAATCAGGACATAGAATTGTATGTCAAGCTTGACTGGCTTCAATCTTTCTGAGGTACAAATAATGAGATTATTAGCAAATTGTTACCTTTCAATCAAAAGAGTGTCAAAAAGTGTTTTGTTAAC